ATACAAAAATTGATCAAATCCAAACCCAAACGAACCCCGTCAAGAGCTTGAAGCATATTTAGAAACTTCAAGATATTAATTGGATGACCAAATAATCAAATTAGACATGTTTACAATCGAGTTAAGTGACTCAATGAGAAGAATCCAACAGGCCTAAAATCACTTAATTCTAAAATCATTAAGAAACTTAAATGTTGAATGAAAACTTTATAACTAGGGGAATCAATACAGATCATCCAATTGATTGAGGGCTTCAAAGTTTATTTGGATTATCTCCATATTTATGGGCATACCACTCTAAAAAATTTATAAATAGACCCCCACTACATACATGAAGGGGGCTTGGACTGGGGAGCTTGGACCCTTAGCTAGAGAGGGAAGCAAACTCTAACGTTTGAAGAATCTTGGAGCTCCACCCAAGCACCACCACTGGCAAAACCTAGCCGCCCGGTTGTCGCCACCAAACCTCATCACCACCGTCAGACCTCTGCCAAATAGCCGTCGTTGAGTCGAGGGACCCCTGCTATCAGATCACCATCGCCCGGCCATCATCGTTGAACCTCTGCCCGATCATTAGAACATCATCGTAAAACTTTTTTCCTACTGTCTAACACTATCAAACTTTCACTGGCTGATAGTGGTTGGACCTTCGTTGTCAAACATTTTGCCTACCAACCATTGCTCTTAGACCATTATCACTCGACTACGCTCATTTGACCTCATAGTCGTCGACTATGATCCTTCTGACCTCTATTACCCACTAACTGATCCTTCCAACCTCCTAGCATGCCAAATATTGTTCTTGGACCACCATCACCTAACTACATTCCTTAAATCACCATCGTCTGACTACGGTCCTCGGACGACTGTTGCTAGACCTCCATCGTCAAATCTTTTTCCGGCCAATCGCCATCCTCAGACCACTGTCGAACAACTACGATCCTTCGATCTCAGTCACCCGACTATGGTCCTTCCGACCTCTGTTGCCCGACTATGATCCCTCCAACCTCTATCACCCGCTTTCTATGGTCTCTTTAGACTCCTCGTCAGCCAACTATATTCCTCGGACCACCGTCGCTTGACTACATTCCTCAAACCATGCCGCCGGATTACAATCCTCCAATCATAATTGTTTGACTATGATCCTTCTAATCTCCGGCACTCGCTGACTACGATCCTCAGAATACTATCACCTGACTAAAATCCATTCGACCTCCATTGTTTGCTAATTATGGTCTTCGGACTACTATCGTCCAATTATGGTCCTTCCAACCTCCATCATCCGCCGACTATAATCATTAGACCACTTTTGCCTAACTATGGTACTTAGACCATCGTCACCCTATTATGATCCTTAGACCTTAGTTAGCAGACTAAGGTTCTTTTACCTATGTTGCCTACCAACTTTAATCCTCAGACCACCATTTCCACACTACGATCCACCGATCTCATTCGCCTGACTACAATTAATAGACCACCAATGCATGACTACAGTCCACGGACCACCGATGATCGACTATGGTTCTTCGATCTCAGTCACCTGACTACGGTCATTCTGACTTTCATCACCCGCCGAATATGATCCTCAGACCACCGACACCCGACTACTGTCCTTCGACCTCAGTCACCCAACTTTGGTCATTCGACCTTAATCGCCTAACTCCGATCCTTCAACCTCAATCACCTGACTCTGATCCTTTCGACCTTCATCGCCCACCGACTACAATTCTTCTGACCTCCGTCATTCACCAAACACATTCCTCCAACTATTGTTGCTCGTCGACTATAGTCCTCAAACCACTATGACCCGACTACGATCCTCAGACCAGCGTTGCCCGACAATGGTCCTTGGACCACCATTGCCTATTACGATCCTCTGATAACCATGGCCTAACAAAGGCTCTTCCAACCTTCGTTGCCTACCGACCACGATCATTTTGATCTCAGTTTCCCACTGACTATGGTCCTTCAATCACTATCACTTGCCAATTACGATCCTTTCGACCTCCATCGACTGTCAACTACGGTCCTCCGACCTCTGTCACCAGACCATTGTCGCCCGACTGCCATCCTTTAACAACTATTGCCTGACAATAGTCCTTCTGACCTCCATCGCTCACCAAATATAGTCCTCTGACTCATAATCTTTTGACTATTATCACCTGGCTACTCCAACACCTACTGGCTTTACCACCTACTCTCTTCATTTATGATGGATTCCGACCACAAGGCTCTTCCACTTTCAACAATATAATATATACTTTATAAATGGTTTCCCCTGATGAAAGGCTTCACTTGTAAGCAGATACAAATACTAGTGGAATCATTTAAATTGGGTCAGGCCTCGTGATTTTTTCCTTTCCTAAGTTTTCCACATAAAAAATATGATATATGTTATAGTTCTGACACCTCTCTTTCTCTTATCAATATGTGTATGGGAGCTTCGTATAAAGCTAGGACATTACACTCATTTACCTCTCTACAGCCACAAATATTCTGGTATGAAACAAAGTTAAAATGTTTAAGTAACCCACAAATTTTTTAATGATGCTAAAATTGAAATCGAGCATTATTAGTATTATAATGAATTATGATGAACACGTCCAACTTAATATGAATATTAAGAAGGTAATCTTTGTAACGATACTTAAATATGATGAAATCCTCTTCATTGTAAATATCTTCATCCACGATGAAATTATTTAGAATTGTCCACTCAATTAAGAATAGGTAGAGGGTAATAGATTTTTGTAAGAAAATTCAAACGAGTAGGTATTGGCTTGTCTTATAGACTTCCCAGCCACTTTTAAGGGCTATCAAAAAAAATAAAAACTATTGATATTCTTTCTTAACAAAAATATTGAAGATGTAATTGACCACATCGTAAGGCAACACAATTTGCAACTTGTGAATTTCCCAACCATCCTGAAAACAATAATCATTAACCTGCACCTTATCGTCAGAGATACTTGAAAGATTGGGAAGCTAGAACTATCCCAACCATTGATCATACCAGATGTAATATTTTCCTTCTCCAATGCCCTTAGTAGATATAAGATTAACTTTATATTTTATATTACAACAACTCCAAGCAGAGGAATAAATATTTTTTTTAGAGATTTCTAAAGGGTACTTATTAAGAAAACGTTATGGGAGAAATTATCCCACAAGTTAATACTATTTCTAAAATTTTCACCAGAACTTCTACAAGTTCTGTAAGATTCGGCAAGGCCCAATTACCAAATTTGCCTTCATTAATAGGGTTGAAAATTTTATGCCAACTGCTTTACTGATTTTTGTTACACTGCTCACTTTCAACCCAAAATAATTTGTTGAATACCTTGTTCAAATAAATAAACCAAGATTGTTGAGAACCAATTTTCCACCTTAAGATAGGAAACAATTTAGATCCAGAATCAATAAAAATAGTTATTTCTTATGCCCCTCATAAAAGCTTACTTGAAAGAACTTAATGCAATTGGAGATATAGTTACTATTAACCTGGGATAATTTATCATGCAGAATAAATTGAGATTTGCTAGTACTAATCAATTGCCTTCATGCTTCCTCAAAATTCTGGAGAACTTTCATAACATTATTATTAGATTTCTTAAAATCATTAGTTCAAAAGAATGATATTATCAGATAATGCAAGTTAGGAGACAGAGAATCCGAAGCTAAGATTAACTTTTAGTTTGGGACGGCTTTCTTACTGCTTCTTAAAGCTGCTTTCTTGTAAAAAGTTTTAATTTTTTTACTAAAAAGCTAACGAAGCCTAAATGTGACCTTTGGGTTTCTCCAATAAAGTCTTTTACCCCTTTGGAATGAAATTCAGTAGAGGTAATGAAAATGCTAGGAGATAAGCGGTCACATTATTAGAGGCCTTTTGAATATTTGAAGAAATTAACCAGATAATCATGGGTCATAATAGAGAGCCAGCAATAAGAAATATCAGGCATGATTCTATTAATGTCAACGTTATTAAATCACACTTCATTAATATAGCCTTAAGAAATGATCAGTGAACCCTATTATAAGCTTTAGTTATGTCCAGTTGCTATATCCACTAGCCTTAAGAAATGATCAGTGAACCCTATTATAAGCTTTAGTTATATCCAGTTGTTATATCCACCCCTAACCACTGCTTTGTTTAAGGTTAATCCAATAAAGGGAAACGTGAAGTAGGTCAAGTCATTAGACCTAGTAAATGGATAGCTATAGAAATTAGCCTCCATAAACCCACAATTCATAATCATATTAGTAAAATCTTGCACAATATGTAAGCTTTGAGTATAACTGCCAACATTTTCATTAAAATTCCCACCAACACGCCAAGGAATGGATTAATTATTCCTTGTGGATGGAAAACGTCGTCCGGAGACCAACCAGAATGCGCCACATCACCCCTTCGCTCGGTACCGCGGCTCGGCATTGTTAGATATCGCGGCTGGTACCACTGATGTGGCGCATTCTAGTTGGTCTCCGGACGGCGTTTTGCGTCCGGACTCTGTCCAGTATAATTTCTCCAAGGAATGGTACAATTAGCAGCAAAAACAAAAAGATATCAGTCACAGAGTAACAACACCAGCTTTCAATGTGTCTGCGTTCACAGAAGAGCATTCCTATATACACAGAATATTTATATGCGGGAAATGCTCTTTAAATCCACTTTTGTTTGGCCCAACAAGCAGCCCCATCTTGCCAATTCATTATCATCTTTTTTAGTTCTTTGAATTTTTTATTTGAATAGCATATAAAATCTAAATATCATAGAGTAAATAGGTTGAGATGGAATTATTTTAGTGGCCTCGAGAGGCACTACTCTATATTAAATCTCTACTAAAAATTGTCATAAAACAAAAGAAGCATTAAGAGAACTCACTTGAATCAGCCCTGAAGTTAATTACATCCTACTAAACTCAAATTCAAAATCAGTAATTATTGCTAAAAAATAAATTGGAAATGCAAATCTCTATTAATAAACAGACAGAAAACCATACCCAATAAAAGCAGTAACAAAGACCAACCAGAAGCCTTTGCATCCCAGCGATAAGTGAGCTATGCTTCCTCTGTGCGGAGAAAAGAAAAACGAATAAGTCATCAGAATATATACATTTATTCTAATCTAGTTAAGAGAAAATCTTTAGTCGCCCTCTTCTAATTAATGATATATTACATATTAAGCGAGAGAAAATAGAGAGAGAGAGAGAGAGAGAGAGGGAATGCCCTCTTGAGAAAACCGAAGTAGGGATGAGCATCGGGGCAGCGATGGATTGAAGGTAGAAGACGAATAGCATTGGTTGAAGCCCTGCCTGTCTGTGCGGCTTTGGTGAAGATTGCCATGAAAGCAAATGTTATTTGGAAGAGGACTATGGCAAGAACTGGCTTGTAATCATCAAGCTTTGCCACTGCCTCGTCTTGACCTGCGCCTCTCTCTCTCTCTCTCTATCCCCCCCTGCTTTTGCTTTTGCCTCCAGTTAGCGAAACAAGGTCGCGAATTTGCCTCTTCCAGATGCCGCGTACACTGCCTAGTGACCATTTACCCACTGATACAGACGTTCAATTTTTTTAAATGGAAAAAGTACTGACGAACAGTGCTGAGGAGAAATCGATACCAAGTAATGAAGAGAAACAATGCCGACGGCAACGCTTCGGCGAGCCGGCTGGGGAGGGCGGTTGACGATGGCTGAGGGAATCGGAAGATTGGTAATCGCCGGCGATTTCTAAAAATAAGAGTTTTTTTTTTAGCTCAAATTTTAATTTTTATTTATTTTAATTTAAATCAAATATATAAAAAAAAAATTAGCAGACCTATGTGCACAACATCGAAATTTACTCTTTATATATTATTATTTTCTATGAATTGTGGACTAATAATTTTGCATTGGCATAGCAAAATTGAAAAGTGTATTCACTGAGAGTTTGATGACATTACTCGAATTTCATTTGAATTTGATTTCTCATATGAAAAAATGATTAAGAGTGCATAATCAATTCAAAAAATATGGTGTAAGTTAAGTCAGCCCCATTCAAGCTAATATGCCTCAATTATTTGAACTCGCCAATCTTTTTTCCTTTTTTTTTTAAATAGGACTCGCCAATCTTTTTTTTTTTAATTAATTAATTTATTTATTTTGACTCGCCAATCTATTAGTGAACTCTCCTGGTTATAACTCTGAAATTTTAAACAAATATAATTTGACCTACAATAATAAAAATTTATTTCATGAGTTATAATAAGTCCAAATTGAAAAATATCTTTGTCATAACATAGATATTGTTGTTATCTAATTATTAAAAAATTTTCTAATTTTTGGGCTTTTGTATAATTCCTTAAGAAATTAACTCATGTCGGTATAACCGTATAAGTGAATTTTTTTTTGGAATCGTCAGGTATCGGTTTTGCAAACTATTTTTTTTTTAATATGTGTATAATATTGAAAGAAATGTGATATTATGGAAGTAAGAAAGGATTTTGTTATGCCAGAGTCAGTGGGCTACCAATGTGGAATTATTTTATGCAAGAGCCAGTGGGCTACTAAGGTGGAATTATGTTATGTTGTAGCAAGTGGGATGCCAAGGAGGAATTTTGATATGCTATGTGATGTTATATCGGAGCCAGTGGGATACCGATGTCGGATTCTGATATGAGACGTGTTATGATTGTGGAGCCTAAGGCATTTTTTGAAAATTGATATATAATATTGGTTTATATTTTAGTTTTAATATACTTCATAAACTAATTAAATACAATCAATATCAGTATATATTTCAGTTCAGCATTTCGTACAGTACATCAATTTATTATTACAACATAATACTTTTAGTTTCAGTTATTAATTTATGTTTTAGGTTGTGATAGCCTACTAAACCGTATTAGCTCACTACTACTTTTTCTTTTATTTCTAGGTCAGGGAAAAGGTAAGGAGTGGGCTGAGTAGTTTTGATAGTAGGCTCTGATTTATATTATAGGTATGTTTGGTTAGTTTTATTTTTGACAGGCATGAATTTTTTTTTTATTATCTATTGTCAAGCGTTGTTGTAGATACATCATATTGTACATGTATTTTTGGATTATATAGAAAGAAAAATCATATTTGAGACTAAGTAGTCTTACTCTTTATTTGTATTTCGTAGTGGCTCTATGTAATGTATACTTTCAAAGTTTTATTTTAGTAATTCTCCGAGGGGTCAGTCTTGCCACAATTAGACATGAAATAACCTATGTGGTATCAAGCGATATCAGGTCAAGTTATGACAAGCTTTTTGGTATCAAAGTAACGTTGGAGAACAAAATCATAATAGAGTTATGATTTAATCTATAGAAGTGAGATGATTCTTAGTAGCTTTGGGTGATCATTTTATTTATTTTTCATATTTATGTGTCACATACAGTTGTGCTCAGTATTCTGAGATGGTTGATCCATCTAAACAAGATCTTTATATGACCAATGATTAGAGTTCTAATAAGACAGCTCTGGTTTAAGGTACAGGTCCTATGATTTATTTTGAAGTAGTTTTTTAGATTACAGGTTTGATATTACAGCTAGTAAGTGAGGTTTAAACATGAGTTTTTGGTACCCACTCTAAAGACATGGATAGTTATTTATAGAGTTTCATGATATTACAGTTTCCTAGACTTTTAGGTGTCATTGAGCCTAGAGAAATTAAGGATTGACTGATGAGGATCAAGAAGACTATAGATGGGATGCATTATCCTCCTAAGATGAGAGTTATAATAGCTCAAACTCTTAATTGTCAAGATATTGTCCGCTTTAGCCTAAGGGCCTCGCAATTTTTTCTTGTTGGTGTAACTTCAAAAGAGATCACCCATCCTAGGATCTTTTTAAGATGAGCACACTTAACTATAAAGTTTTTTAATAAAATTATAATCATTACACCAAAAGTGATGACCTCAATGTTAAAATGTTTAACTTCTTTTACTAATGTGTTTCATAATCTCTTCCACTTAAATGACTGACATCCTCGGCAGTATCCCTATCACAGAATAATCCACCAGGCATATAGGGTTCTAGAGGTAGCCCCTACAAATTTAAGTGGTGACTCACACCACATAGCACTTTATCCCATATAGGGTTTACGAGGTGGCTCCTATGACATAGCACTTTATGTTGTATAATACTTAGTTCTCATCTTTTGGTTGGTGTATTACTTAGATGTCAATTGTAACAGTCCAAACTCTTAACTATTAAGATATTATCCACTTTGGCCTAAAGGCCTCACAATTTTATCTTCATGGTATAATTTCCAAGGAGGTCAATTACTAAGTTTAAATAATAATATATTTAATATGTTAATTTGTTAGTGAAAATATATTATTTTAGTTGTATTTGTACAAAAATTATAAGAAATGAAAAAATATAAACAATTTATTATTGTGTATTGAGTTGTATATTACTGTTTATTATTGTGTATTACTATAAATTAAGATGTGTATTGTTGTATAATTAGCTATATATTTATGTATATTGTTGTGTGTTACTATGGATTGTGTTAATTGAGCTGTGTACAAGCTTAGATTCAATTATATGAATAGTTTTTTCTTATAAATAAGGTGTATAATTGTGAGAAGGAAGCATATGATATGCACTGCTATTATGCTCATAGTATTAATTTTAGTGTTCACAAAAAACATCACAATTACAGACCAAATTCTAAAAAAATAAGATCTAAGGATTTTGTTTGTTCAAAAGATGGTTTCAAGTATGGTATTAACTTAAATTCTCAATCAAAATATCAGAAATTAAACACTATAAAAGGGTGCCCAGTAATAATTAGATTTATAGTGGTTGAAGAAGGAATTTTGAAGGTATAAAAATATATAGAAAGTCACATCAAGAATTGACTAGGACAGAAGACCAACATTTACTTAAATCATGTAAAAATATTAGTGATGAGAAAGTATTAGTTCTTAAATCAATGATAGAAACTGAGATATAGACTGTTAATACATTTACCTATCTTACCGATGATGTTGAAGATTTAGAGAATGTTAGATTCTCTAATATGAATGCTTATAATTATATTCAAAAAGAGAAAATAGTAAAGATTGAGTATATGGATACAAATTTGCTAATTCAACTATTTAAATATAGACAAGTTAATGACAACATTTTTACATGGGACATCCAAACTGATGAATTTAATATATTGTTGAATTTTTTTCGGTTGAAGTGATGGGGAGAAAAGATTATGACAACTTTAGAGATGTTATAATTCTTGATACTAGTTACTAGCTTAATAAATATAATTTAGTCTGTAAACCATTTATTAAAGTTAATAATCATTGGTAGAATATTTTTCTTGAGGTGACCTTTTTGTGAGAGAAAATAATTAATTCATTTATGAGGGTTTTTAAAACATTTGTATGGATAATATATGATAAATATCTAATAATAATATTTACTGATCAGGACAATGAATGGTTAGGGCTGTAGAAATTACATTACCTTAGACACGCTATAGACTATGCAAATGACATATTTCTAAAAAAGCTCCATAAAAAATTTGGTGCTTTAATAACAACAAAAACACAATTAGGACACTATTTTATAAGTGTTTGAAAAAGTGTGACTCTGAGGAGAAATTTGAGAGAACTTGGGCTAAAATGATCACAAAAGGGGCCTCTAGAGCCATGATTGGTTGAATGAGCTTTATATGATAATGAATAAGTGGTCAACAACATTCAATAAGAATTGCTTTAGCATGGGCATTCTATCAACACAACATAGCAAGTCCACTAACAATGTGTGCATTAGCATTTTGAAGCCAACAAGTTCTATAATTAATTATTTTTAGGGTTAAAAAAGGTGATGATGTCTTGGAGCCGGAATGAGCAGGATGGAGATTCAGATGTAGTTATTCCGAGATAATGCTTATCATAAAAAGCATCCCAATACTAAAATAAGATGCTCGATTTTATTCAAGAAAAAAAATATTCATTCTTTGAAGATGAATTTTTATAAGGTGTGGGTGGAATGTGTATAGACTATGTCTCAAGTGATTCATCAAAATTTTTCATAAAAAACATAGAGAATTTGACTGTTCATTTTGATGCAAAAGTGGGTAAAATTCAATATAGCTGTAGGAAGTTTGAGACAATGGGTTTACCATGCTCTCATTACATGAGAGTTATAAGGAAACTAGATATTATGAATATACATGTGATGTACCTACTACTGCAATGGTCAGCAAGAGCTAAAAAATATATTTATGTTGGTCGCATGTTCACAGGTTTGGGAAAGAATGACATCACATCTGAGGCATATAGTGGTATGATATTCAAAAATCATTTTAGCAGATTTGTATATCAAATCAGCACAGGGCAATAAGGAGGCTGAATAGTACATATTGGTTATAATGAATTACATGAATGAAAATAAAACTTGATCCTTGATGGTAAGAGAAAGAACCACAAGTTTGTAGGCAACACACAGGGTGGGATTAAAAAATTGAAAGACCCACCAAAGTGTAGGCCTAAAAGTATCTCTAATATAAGGTTGAAGGGACATCAGGAAAATAAGAGAAAATATAAGAGTAAGAATATGTCGTAGAGGAAACTATAACAAAACAGTGTTCACCATTAAGCTAGATCAAGATATTAAATATATCAGAATGCTTCACCTAGAAATTTATTATTAGATCAGCAACCAGCTAGCCAGCACCTGAATATATGAGGATGATGATGAATATCATTGACTCAAAGAAAAATTGTTG